CCCCTAAGATATTGGAACACTGCTATCATGTCTCCCCTAGTCGTTCTTTTCATTAAACTAGACATACCCAGTTCCTGCAAACATTCTTCATATGTTTTAGCCTCGAGTCCCCTAATCATCTTTGTTGCTGTTCTCTGCACACTTTCTAGAGTCTCAGCATCTTTTTTACATTGTGGAGACAAAAAATGAATGCAGTATTCCAAGTGTGGCCTTACTTAACTGGAACATTTGACAAATGTTTAAACATTAAACTATTTATATCCTCTGGCTTTCAGTCAGTATCAGAGAGGTACTGGATCTTCAGAATGTCCTACCTGTTTTGTTCTTCCAACTTGGCTAACAGCTCCAACTCATCTGGGCTCAGGTTCTCAGAATCAGAAGTAGGGGAACATGCAGGCATAGAGTTGACAGAAGAAAGTGCTTCATGGGAAGAAGAGTCAGGGCTGATGGCTGGACTTGCCATCTCCAGCAATTTGAGAGTAACAGGAATGTTCATTTAGAAAGTATTTGGAGACAGTGATCAGGAAAGTTAAGGAATCACCTGTAAAAGACAACATAGTACTTAAAACAGCAATAGTTTTCTCCCTTCTTTATAATTGATGCCAAAATAAGCTGTTCACAAGATTGGAACATAATTGTTCTAGTTCAAGACTAAATTGCTACTACAGACCAAATAAGAAAGAAACAGTGTAACAAATAACCAAGGGTTTTTTCTTTTTATATTTATTTTGTGAAGAAGCATTTCTTTTCAGCTAATCATTTGGATTTCCCCAATAATCCTTAGGAACATTTGACTGCAAAAATTGTAAAATACTCAGAGAATGTGAATTGCTTTTCCAAAGACAAGCCACTATAATTTGAATGTAAGTCACAAATTTTATCCTTCAGGACAACTCATTGTAGTTTACAGAATTAATATTATGAATATTCTAAACCTTCTTCAAAAAAACATCCACATAGTCACTTTCTGCTTGTAGCATTAAACTAAAAAAAAAATAACACAAGTAAAAACTGGTTTCTCTTAGAGAGTAACTAAGTCAATATAATCCATACAACCCAGAAGTGGTATTTAGCAGGTTCAGACCAGTTCTGGAGAACCCATAGCAGAAATTTTGAGTAGTTCGGAGAACCGATAAATACCACCTCTGACTGGCCCTGTCCCGATCTATTCTCTGCCTCCTGAGTCCCAGCTGATCGGGAGGAAATGGGGATTTTGCAGTATTCTTCCCCTGGAGTGGGGTGGGAATGAAAATTGTACAGTATCTTTCCCCTGCCACTCCCACCAAGCCCCACCCACAGAACCGGTAGTAAAAAAATTGAATCCCACCGATACTACCGTAGATCAATATAATTAATTTGAAAATTATGCAAAAACTACTGGAGTAGTTTAGAAGTGCTGCTGCTGCTTGGAACTAAGACAGCTAAAGTACCTCATCATAAATGTAGATTACATTTCTCTTTCAGAGCTCTGTTTCATTCTCTCCTGACTTTAATCAGACTGGAAAAAACTTACATTGAGTAGTTTTGATGCAGAAAGCTTGTCAAGAAATCTGCCAAGCACTAATTTGTGGAACCATTTCTTCCAGATGGTTTCTGCTCACCCTATCAGATAGGGTAGACTAGATATTGGTTCACCGACAAATGCGCGCCCGACAGATTCACCAGATCCCCCTGGGGAAGCAGTCACCTGGTGGACCCCAGGAAGCATGCCTTCTCTGTCAGGATGCCTTCTTCATGACCAGCCTCCTAATGAGATACAGATAATCTCAACCCTGTGGGTCTTCCAAAGGGCTGTGAAGATCTGACATTTTTCTCCCTAGGCCTTATGGTCAGAATGTTAATGGAGTACTGCCATGGCTGTAGTTACCGTACATTTGATATGGATGTGATCTTTTTTTGGGGGGGGGGGTGTTGACTCAGTTTCTTTTTCATAGATTTCTACCATTTGATTCTTCTTCTTTTTCTGTTCATCAACCAGACTTTTCTGGGTAGACAGCTATATACATTTATTTAAATAAATAAGTGAATACACTTTCAGACTTTTTGATTTGATTTATTCCAGCCTTGTAAATAATTTTACTTGGTGTTTACCTTATTTGTTTTGTTGAACTGGTTGGTCATTTGGTGGCTTTTGTTCTGTTTCATGCACAATTATTCTACTTTAGTCTAGTATCACCATGCTGATATTGAGCCACTGTTTTGTACCTGCAAGCATACTGCTCCACCAAATAAGTACAAAGAAAGAAGCAAGGGGACCTGACGAACTAACGTGGCCAGCTAGCTGGTGTGTTATGTTTTGTGACACATAAATGCAGGAAACATCTACTTCATAACTCCAGTAAGTTCTTAGTCCCATAGGTACTTAGCCCATAAATCTAGTCATTTGGAACAACTATCAATTGTTCCAATACGGTATAAGATACGAAGAAGATCTACCTTTTATTTTTCTATTTTTTAAAACAAATTTAAACAAACATTTGATTGAGAGGATATGCGAAAAAAGTAAACCCTTACAGTAGTATTTTTGAATATTGATTAATATTCTGCCTTTCCTCCAAGTTGGTATAAATAATTCTCGCACCTCCAATAATTTTTGATAACTATCCTGTGCAGCAGGTTACCCAAAATTCATAGTGAATCTTTATGATCTAAAAGTCTCATGGTGCTGGTCTCCCAGTCATAGCTTAATACCTGAACCATTACACCACACTGGCTCTCAAGACTTGTGTTCTGATGTTTAGAGAAGCATTATTTTAATAAACATTAATTAGTTTATACTTAAAAGGGCGGCCTATAAATCTAATGAATTGAATTGAATTAAAACATCTATTTGAATCCTGCTTAAATCATTAACAGTAATCTCTCTAATTTTGTACCCCTGAACCTTCTATTATCTCTTGATTTTTATAAATTATAATTTCAACAACACATTTATTCTAAAAGCTGTCAAAAAAATAGAAGTGGCCAAGTGTTTTCTCATACAATTGATATTATTGCATAATGGGGGGGGGGCGTACAAGAACAGATAAACAATGTTGAGGTCAAACAAAAAACTGATTAAATGTAAATCTCCTGTATCATGATGCTAGGTGTTTTGAGACAGGCAGTAATTAAAACTCCTTTGAAAAAATATATATTGTGGATCCCAAACAGAGAATTGCTGTCCTGTGATTCATATTGCTATTGAGTACAGATTTCTGAATATTAACAACTTGAGATATGGTCTTGCCAGTACAGAGATATACCATAGGTAAAATTACTATGGTCTGGAGGAAAACTGAAAACATAGAAGATATATGTGAAACTAGACTAGAGAATTGTTTATTGGCTTGTTATTTTTGATGTTTATTAGTTTAGATTGTTCGTTATGATCTTTTCCTTTGTAATTTACACAATGAATCGATATATAGTGAAATTTTGCATTACTAAACTCAGTTAATTGTGGTACAAGGCAAATGCTTGAGGAAAAATTTCAAATAATTTTAAAATATAGAGTCAAATTTTTATTGAGTCTGCTAAGCTGCTGTATAGAGTTTATAGGATCTCATTAATCTGCCTTTCTGCAGTACTTACACTTTTATAAGGTATGTCAGAACAACCTAATTCCACTGTCCTGTCTTATTTTGTTCTGTTTTTACTATAAAGAATGTTTAGGGGCAAAGGCATAGGGTACAGATCATGTAAATGAAGGACAGAGACAACTGATAAATGCAGTTAATTGTTGGCAGACTGTAGCAAAAAGACAAAAAACAAAGCTCCTTGGTTAAATCTATCATTTTCCGGTTCCACCACAAAACCGCGGACGACAAAATCGCGTTCGACGAAAGCGCGTACGTGACGTCATCACAGCGCGATGAAAACATCGCACTGTGATCAATAAATGTAAAAATAAAGCGAAAACCTTACCCTAACCCCCCCAAACCTAACCCTAAACCTAACCCTAAACCTAACCCTAAATCTAACCCTTAACCTAACGCTAAACCTAACGCTAACCCTTAACCTAACGCTAAACGTAACCCTAACGCTCTAAACCTAACCCTAACCCTTAACCTAACCCTAACCCTAACCTTTATGTGAATCGGCTTGCTTTAATTTTATTTTTATTTAATTTTTTATTTTTTTCGTCGCGCTGTGATGACGTCAAATGCGCGCTTTCATCGAGCGCGCTTTTGTGGACCGCGGTTTTGACGGGTCACGTCATTTTCCTCCAGTGAATTGGCAATTGCAGTTTCAAACCCTTTTAGTTTCAGAAGTACGTCTCAACCTAGAACCTTGTACCCCTTAATCAGCATTTGGCCTGCATTATAATGATAGAATTTTAAGAAATTGTAGCAGAGGTGTCAAACTCGATTTCATTGAGGGCTGCATCAGAGTTGTGTTTGACTAGGGTGGGTGTGGCCAGCTCAACATCACTTGTATTGGGGGCGCCTGTGGTGGTCTGAGCACTTCGCCAGCGAAAACAGGCTCCCAAGCTCCATTTTTGTCTGCGACAGCCTCCTGCAACCTCTGCCAGTGAAAACAGAGCTTGGGAGGGTGGCCCGCAGCTCTCGTGAGCTCTGTTTTTGCTGGCAGAGACACTGCAAGCTGGTCCTTCACTGTTTCCAGGGTGGCCCCAAGGGTCAGATCTAATCACCTGATCTGATCCCCGGCATTGAGTTTGACACCCCTGAATTAGAAACACAGATTAATTAGACAAAGCTATGGGATGGGATGTTATTCCTGTAGAACTTTTCAAAATTAATATTCACTGATGGGCACAAATTTCAGCAGCCCTTTTCTTTTGCCATTGATTCCCTGCTATAATTTCAAAAGACCCACAATTACAATTCCCAGTTCCCATGTATAAGAACGGTTTCTGTGAAGACTTTAGCAATGATCATTCCATTAATCTGCTGCATGTAACCACAAACTATATTCAATAATTTTTTGTTTTGCAATTGGTAGGGGGGGAGGTCTAAGAAAAACCCACAGATAGGCTAGTGCTAGAACTGGCAAGTCTAAAACTGACCAATGCCTGAATTTCAACAGCTGGCAGAAAAATACTGTGGCAACCTTTATGGGGCTCCTCATGCTGCTTTTATTGATCTTGAATTTGTATTTGAATGTATCCCAAATGACAGACTTTGGAAAAAGTTAGACATTTCAGTCCTAAATCAAAGGTTTTATTTTCAGATATGAAAACTACACAAAAACAGTTTTCTTAAAGTCGGTTGAAATACCCAAGGATATTTGACACAAAACATCTCTGAAAATAAATGACTGAAAGATTATAAAGTTTTTTCTTCTCTAGAAGTTACAATCTTACAAAGCAGATTGCCTGATTGACTTAAGGTGATATATTGTCCATAAGGTCTAGCCCCCTTAGCTCTATTTGATCAACATCACTTCAGGCATACAATTTTCCTGGAATCAAAATCAAAGGTTGCAGCCTTTTTAATTTCTTATGACATCTGTTACATATACAAAAATCAGACTTTATAAAACATGTCCGCAGGATACTGATAAACAATTACATTAGCAGAACTCTTGTTGTGCAATCAG